CTATTACCTACTATCAGCGTCTAGTGGCATACCGAAGACGATATTTTTAGGCAGTTGTTTCAAGTCTAGAATGCGTGGTTATGTGGTGTGTGATAAACTGATAAATATCGAAAATACAAAAAATAGATAATATTGTTTAGAACACCGCTGATTATCACAGTATTACACACTTCAACTACGCTACACAAATATGCCTACAACTTCAACTGTATCCCGCTCAGATGTTTGTTGTAACAATTCTTCTGTGAAAGAATTGCCTGTTCTAGAACTAAAATATTWATTTTATAAAAAAAAAAATGACAAATATAATACACCTGACACCTCCCTATAACTTTTGTAGAAACAATATTTTTTAGATGGCGGGACCGGGTGTAAAATAACCGACTTTTGGAAGTTCCCAGGGAACTGTTCCCTCAAATAATATTGCCCAAGAATACTTGGTTTATTCATATTTAATTTACTTAAATAGATGTAGCCATGTAGTATGTCGATATTTTTTAACAAATAATTTATATTTATATTGTCTTTTTTCAAAATTGCAGCCTRCAATGATAAATATATAATACCTAACCTACAATAATAGTATGAGTTRATGAAGATTCGTACATTTAGTTTGTAACTAAATCTGTGTTGCACTTACCTGATATCATCGCCGGCGAAAGGGCCGGGCAGAAGGGGCATCTGCCCAGGGCCCCGCCATTTTGGAGCCCCACGCCTTGTATGGTATTTATAATTTGTAAGCCCATAATTTTGTTTTTCAATTTAAAAATACAAGTCTCGGCTGGCCGTCTGCAGTTTCGGCTTGTGGGTTTTTCATATAATAAACGAGTGAGAGTAAAAATAAATAATAATGCCGACGTGCGACGGCGACGTCCAAARTAATMCGTTGGAAACAATTTAATTGGTTATCACATCAATTCCGTTAAACTGTGGATTGCGTGTTTTTCTTATCCTGGTTATATAGTTTATTTCATTAGATTATTAGAGACGAATAGACGATTAGGCGGTATTGAGTATTGAAAATAGACGTACGATAGCGAATCAATTCTTTATCTAAAACTTTAGATAAAAGAATCACCCGGTAAAAATTAATTATCATCGTTATTCTTCGTTCTATCGAAAATATATTATATTATTTTTTTCCTTGTTGTGATTATTTTTTTGGGCTTTTTTTCCGTTAGAGTTTTTTCTGTGCCTATTTCCTTGGGCTTTTTTCCGCGATTCAAATACATAGTAAAAAACAATAAATAACAAAAACAATCTATAAAAAAATTGTGTGGTATGTATAGTTTTTGTATTTTTTTTTCGCAGAATTAACCACTTATGTGAAACATTGTTTTACATTTTCAATATTTAGCTATAAAAGTTAAACGTTATAATATAAGTTAACAACTAAAGAATTTGTGAATATTGAATTCAATAAAATTTGTATTTAGTGTACTTAGTGTAGACAGTGTAGTCTACTTAAACATTTAACTTGTACATAATATTTTATTTTAATATGAAAAATGTATCCAATAAATTAGGAATATAAGCAAAATAATATTTGTAGGTTTATGTTTTAAGAAATAAATACATATTGAATTGAACAGTGGACGTTTAATACATTGTTTAATTGAGTACACGAAAAAAAATATTTATGGGTAAGTTATGTAAAACTAAAAAAATTTCATACAAGTACAAATAGGTAAGTAATAGGACTTGCGAAAAAATGTTTAGGGCCCATGAAAAAAATCTGCCTGCCCCGGGCCCCGCAAAACCTCCCACCGGCGCTGCCTGATATATTGCTCTACCAACGCTCTAAAAAAAAAACACAATTAATTCTGATAAATTTTAATACTCCCAATACTTCTTTACTGTCAATTTTGTAAATGTGACATGATCGGCGAAACAATAGAAATGAATGTCTTTTTGTAAGACTGAAAGTATGTTCACATTGGCGTAATTATAGTTGGTTATTATTTACGATGTACCATAATACTATTAATACTATAATATAATATCTATAGGTATACTACTTTATTACCCTGTATATACAACAATATTTACTGACGCTAAAATCGACGCGTCGGACGTCAATTTTATTATTGTGAATATAATATGTAGCAAAAAGCAAATACCAAATAGCAATTAACTTACCGCAGCTGCAGACGACCGTCGACATCCGGTATTATTCCTACACCGTACCCTGCAATGATGACGAGCGTACTTCTTATCATAATATTATACTATTGTGTACGTTGTATTTTATAGYTGTACTACCTGGCATCAATATAATATTATGTAAATAAAATATATTATATAATGTACTAAATCATTATAATAAWATAATATAATATTTTATGGCATTATAACCGTTTAGTGTATTGGTGTGTTGATAGCTTTCACGATCGTATTGCCGATGTCGAATAATAGGTAGTGATGTAGTATACAGTATACTAGTGTCTAGTATAGAATATACTAGATATATTATTATTATAGTGATACCCACTTGAACGAGTTGAACGTAAAGGTACACTGCCGGTTATGAAGGACCTTATGAAATCGTGAACGTGAAGTATTTTTTAAGTGGACTCCACACTCGCCGTCGCCATGTGTTGTTTACTTGTTTCGATGTAGGTACAACACAAATCCACGTTCAGCCAATTTTATATTAACTTCAATATTAGATTGAATTGTCCTTTTATAAAACATAAAGGTAAGTTTAATATCTAGACGTTAGACGTTGATATTTTATTTTAAAAGYGAGTAATGTAATATATTACTTTAAAATGCTCATCAAATAAAATACCAATATAAACCAAATCTACGATTTTCCCTATAAAGAATAATCTTACTTTTAAATTTGAATAGTAGTCAAATCACTTTAATATAACTACTTTGATTTTACACTTCTATAGGTAGTTACGTAAATATTCAGTAATTCAGTATGCTGTACACAGTACACTATATTATCAGTAGGTACTCATGTTTGGAAGACGGACTAAAGTAACAACACACGTGGGTGTGGTATTCTCTTAACCCAGCGTGTAAAACCAAATGTTGTAGCACATTTAATTTAACAAAATAATAATACGTCGAATCATAATATTAAATTGTAAATTACAATTTGTAATATATTATTATTATTTTGTACATTGTACTCTGAGATAGCGTTCGTTCGAATATTGAAACGTCGGTCGTTGATCGGTCTTCGTTGATTTTACTAATGCGATTCGCGGCTTAGCTGGTAATTGAATACGTACTACGCAGTCACTGGTATAAGTAATAGGCACCGTAATAATGATACATTGATACGTTTATATTATAGCTTATAATTTAGTATACAGACACTGAGACACCCGTAGCCCGTGGCCACATAAAATAGTAAGCAAATGCTCCATGGACTACAAAAAAGGGCATTGTCGTCAATTTAGATACACGCAACCCGTTTGAGCTTATATAATTTATCAAACTCATATTGTGCGTGAATATTGAGTTAGTTATATAGCCATGATATAGGTAACCTAAGGTTATAGTCGGGTTATAGTCGGGTTATAATGTTTTTATTTTTCAGATGAAACAGTTTACAGTATACTAACCTGTGGCTTGCAATGTAATATTGCTTTTTGTATTTTTGTGGTCAGATTACGTCCTAATAGAATATTATTCGGTGGGTGTAAAATGAAAATATCACAATATTTTGTTTTTCTCACCCGAATCTATTCGGCGGCATGAATTATTTTTAGTTAATATGACGAAAATATTCGTATTCTACCGCTATTTATATAGGATTATTTTTGTATAGTTCTTCTTGTAAGTTATTAGACTTAAAATATTATTTGTTAATTTTGTTCAATTGCGTGGACTGCGTCCTATGTTTTCAATTTTATCAAGTGCATATCATTGTGTTTTTAGTTTTTTATATTAATGTTTAGTTGGAAACACATTACAGTCCACTTTTTTGGAAAATGTAGGTAAATACTTTACCTTAGATCCAAAGTTTGTGTCGTTTTTGAAGTTTGTTTAGTCTTAACTTYTTTAATAATGTATTTCACGAAAAAAAATCAAACTTTTTTATAGCCAGCGCTGAAAAACAAGTCTTAAAAAAAAACAAAATTTTTTTAAATTTGTATTAGGGACGTGGTAAAAGTGCATTTGTTCCGTATGTAAACATATTGGTTATGAAGGAAGGAATTATTTTCAAAATAAATATATAAATCAAATATCTATTGTAAAGAGGGAAAATATTGTATTCAAAATGGTTTGATGTATATATTATAATAAAATTTGGTAAAATAACTAGATATGTTATATTATCATGTTTACGAAAGTGTAGTAATTGTATTTTTCACTTTCGACCCAATTAGGAATGCGTGCGTGAGTTATAACAAGCAATAACCAAATACCAATAATACATTATGAGTTATATATATCACCACAGATATTGAGATATCACTTGTATCGTTGTTTTCTTCATTTCTCCAATACCTGATTTCAACACGTCGTCACTAGTATAAAATAAGTATAATAGTATTAAAAATGTTCAGTGTAATACAGAATATATAATAAAAGCCCTAAAATGGGTATTGCCATTTCAAGACATTTATTATATTATAATTTATAACTAACTGATTTCCGTAYACTTTGTTGCCCGTTGAAAATACCAACTTTAAAATTTGTGTTTTATTTCGTTGTAACATAGTCACATAAAATACAGGACTGAAACTTACATATATTAGATCATATAATATTTTCTCGCACTTTTAGCTTTGTAATTTTAAATTGGTAGGTATCTTATAACAAATTACTAATTTCAAATTCAAACTACCAATCGATCTTTTTTTGGGAGGCATAACCATAGACAAGTATACAAATGAAAAGAAATGGCGTTATTATTATTATTACAAAAAGAAAAAAATACAAAATATCAATAAAAACTTTTAATGTCATAGACGCACGTGTCATGGAAACAAATAATAATAAATTTAGGGATAATAATTTCTTTCATTCTAATTATTATTTTTATTGAAATTAATAGCAACCATCTACAAACAGTATAAACTAAAATTTCCATCGTAAATCTCAAAATGTCTGTTTGAGCCCCTCCCGGGGTTGAGCCTATCACTTTTCAATTTATAGCCTATCCATATAGGTCTAATATATTTTTGTCTAAATTTCGTCGCAATCGATCCAACCGTTTAGTAATGTACCTATAAAGGACAAACAAACAGACAGAAATCCATTTTTATATAGATGGACTGGACATATATTATAACATAATATCTACATTAATAATGTATATAAATATAATACGAGTATACGACAAATTGTTTACTGTACCTACCTTGCTCCGATTACAGTATAATATTATATAAAGATAATACTTGAATTGCTGCTATGTTTTATGTTACAGAACTACATAAGAATATAATAGCCTGATTTGTTTATTATTTACGCTTTCTACTTTATTGTCAAACTATGAGATATAGGTGCGTCTGGTTCGTATTCAGCTACGAATCTGAAACTATCTATTCTGTGCAGCTACTCTTACAGGTAGGAGGTGTATAGCCCGGTATAGGCATCTAAACGTGTGCGGTATCCTGACAATAACACTGCAAGTCAGCACTATATTCGTGACTTGGCCGTTGGGTCTGAAAATCTAATCTCACCGCCCGAAATGTATGAGATTAAATGAATAATAATGATAATGAAACCAGAATTTCCTTCGTACATCTTTACTAATTGTAAGATTTATATACCTAGCTATTTATTAGGTACCTATATTTTAAAGTTATAAGGATCTGGAAGTTCATTAATTTGTATATGTATATTGTATATGCATTTATGTTCTTTAATAATTTTCTATTTCAAATTTAAGTTATATTTTTGTAGGTGTAAAAAAATATTATTTTTAATTGTCAGTCAAATTAAATTGAAATAAAAATCAAAAAGGTTTTTTTTCTTATATAGCTAAGGTTATTAAGAATAAGTGTAAAAGAGTTTATTTCTTGTATAAAAAATTTGAAGGCATATTTCAAAGCTTTTAAGCACATAAATACATGCTTATTTCTTTAGTTTTTAGTGCAAATACTTCTGGACCCTACATATAATTTATAAACTAGGGATAAAAATTATTTGGCCYTCGTCTTGTCAAATACATGTTATACTGATGCGAATCACAATAGCAGCAGATTATCCCGATAGCCATCATCAGCCATCGCCCATCACACACGAAGAGCACACGTTATGTATCTAAGAATCTATAAATATTTATAAATGAAAATGCTGCTGTTGTAATTAGTAATTCATTGAATTTAGTAATTTAGATCGTAATCATAAGACGTAACGAATTAATAACAAAAATTCATATATTCTTAACATTGTTTATTGTTTAATATGAATACTTATAGGTTTAGGTATCATTAAACTAWTAGTAGGTACACTAATATCTATATAGGTAACACTTAGGAATTAGAATAGCACATTAGTACTTGGTAGAGTGCAGGTAAGTAAATGCAGTAATTATCATTACAATAATTGTATCATTATCATCTCTAAATTATAATAATATCTATGACTTCCATACATTTGTAAAGTTGTACGATTTACATATTGTATTTATTGTATGTTTTATTTCATTTTTAAATTCCTCGTTCAGTAATAATTTACAAGAATTTAGTCTAAAATAGTAAATGGTAATATATTAATGACTCTATATATGATTGAATTACTTACACAATATATTATACATCATAGGTTAATTGTTGGGTGACGACTGACGGAACACATTTTATTAAATATTTTCATGCATCGTCATCCGTCACGTATATTTCATAGGTGCATGGGATATCTTGTATAGTTATTAATAGTAGGTACCTATACTACCTATTACATTAATATAGGTAATAAAACAATAATTAACCTATGATGTATAATATATTGTGTAAGTAATTCAATCATATATAGAGTCATAGGTTAATTGTTGGGTGACGACTGACGGAACACATTTTATTAAATATTTTCATGCATCGTCATCCGTCACGTATATTTCATAGGTGCATGGGATATCTTGTATAGTTATTAATAGTAGGTACCTATACTACCTATTACATTAATATAGGTAATAAAACAATAATAAATGCCTTAAACACCTTATGAATTATTATATACATGTACATCCATATATGAGACATGAACTACACCATAGAAAAAAAACTACTATTATATACACTAGTGAGGTTTGACGTAAAAACACAAAAGGTTTCATTAAAGTACATATCAACTAAAATATACAATACGTTTATAAACACACATAATATAACACCTATAATAATATGGAGAATTATTGAAAAATAGTTTTAAATATATTGATTACAAAGAAATTATTCGGTTAGGAAAACATATAAATTTATTATAAACACGAACGTTTCCCACATATTATTGCCCTATAATATTAGGGGCTTATAAAATTGAAAATTGTAATAATAATTATTAAATAGTTAAATAAAAATACGCACATTTATTGGATATAATTTTTGTTACAGGGAATTGTATGAATAGTTCATCTACGAAATTTGAGAAAATCGTTTTCTCATTAACTGCTTTTATTTCGAGTACTTACTGTTTCGAAAATCGAAAAATGACTCATCTAAAGTTTACTAGTTCAAGAACATCACGTTTCAGAAAAGATGCTACACTTGATACTTTTGAGCAAGTTTAGAGGAAGAAAAAGTGTTTACAAAATAAAAAAAGCTGGTAAGTCGTGGATGTCGCTCTGCTGTACAGTAGGTTACTGTAATGGATGGGATTAAATTTGAATGCAATGATAGGTATCATTGTATACGAAAAACGATTCTGAACGGAGATGATTTGTCAGTCTAGGATATATTATATTTAAATATTGTCATATATTCTATTCTGAAACAAATATTTTATTTTTCAATTAAGACGCATTTTGCATAAGGCATGGTTAATCAATTAGTGTAGTTATCATTTAGTTATCATAATTCATAATACCTTAT